CGTCCTTCTTTCGTCGTCGGCTTTCACGGGACCACCTGATTCCTTCTCGTTCGGGTCCGTTGGATGCTGAGACGATAGATGGAATTCGGTTAGATGGGTTTGGGTTCGACTTGATTCAGTGATTATTCGTCGCATGAATATTGATAGTACGGGTAAAAAGTGAAATGTGACACGATGGCTTTTTGATTTTTTTCTTATGTCCATCGAAAATGGAAAAGAATACTAGAGAAATTGAAATATATTACCGTTTTAAGTGTAGTAGAAATATCTATTCATCAGAGTTGTGAATTTCAACGTTATTTATCCACTTTCTATTCATCGTGCGGTGAGAGCTGAATGAGAATAGCTTGGAATTGAGACATTTGAATTGAATCAAGTGTAATACCAAAGAAATTGAATTAATCCGCAATTAAGAAATATGACTGTCTCAATAAGAAGGAAGCAAACTCCAAAGATCATTACATCTTTGAGTCCAAAGTTGAGAATCCTCAAATTCTAGAATTGTTACTTTAGTATCTTCAAACTCTAAAGCCTAAGTCCAGGGATTCTCAAATTAGGGTTCTTAAATTTGCAAGTCCGCAGTTTTGAACCCCCTGAAATACAGATACTCAAATTATAACCTTTCAGTTCAAAGGTTCTTAGACCTCAGTTCTAGACGCTGTAAATTCTCAGACTCCAACCTCCAAGGTCTTAAACTGTCAGTCCAAATTCGATTAAAATCTTTCGATGAGTATCGACATGACAGACGCGACAGACAATCATATGTACACTTTTGCTTCAAGTCTATTTCTATCAGAAAAGTTATATACTATCACTATTTTATTCGAGATAATGTATTACTGATAGTGCACCGAATGACGGTTCATTGTTAAATATGTGAATATAATTTTGTACAAAAATTAAGTCTGAAGGAGTCAAAGAGGATAAGAAATCTCCATTTAGAGAACAGCGAAAAATATTACAGTTACAGATACGAATTATAATTGATCGTCTGTGTTGTCATTAGAAGAAACTATTTTTAAATGTTGTAGAATAGCCGAGCCTGGCGGTCGTTGTTCGAAGAACAGACACGCTATGATATTGAATTATAAATGGAGAAGGGAGAAGTTGCAGTCGCGTGGCGGTGCACCGCGTGACCATGTCTCCTTCCTAATCTTGCCAGTCCTCGTCCCGGGACTCGAGGCAGACTGCAATTTCGCGCACGTGCCTCGTAAAAGTTTCATTGAGGCGTGCACGCGTCACGACGCCGGAAACTCGCTTAGGTACACTGGCACTGCTTAAACATTAATTTATTGTTCCCGACTATTAATTCCACATGGAGGATCGTCTGCACGTCAGCTCAACCGTTTTCATACTCCAAGAATATTCGATCCACGAAATCGACTTTTCGTCGGTACACTTTTGTATTTGACTACCTAATCAGTGAATTTCGATGATTTTTACCGAGAATATGCTGTTTTTTATAAGGTCACATTAAAAAGCATTTTCCCCTGTTAATTGAATACTAATTGCCTGTTTAATATGAACATTATACGACTGATCGATGGTGTTATTCTTGTTTCTCGTGTCCACGGTAATATATTGTTTTTGTTGAAATAGGGAATTACATTCTATCTGGTTCTAGCTATCGTATTCTACTTTAATCTCTTATTT